CCTCAGTTTTACACTTTTGGTACTTTGTCAACAACACACCTACTTACGTAGGACCAAATATATTATCACCTTTTGATGTCTTCTATAATGCTGACCATAGTTCAGATTTTTGGAATTGTTAACCAGAGGATCATCAAAAATAAGAATAGGAATCAGTTAAAAATTTTTAGTTGATTAGTCAGTCGACTAAAACAGTTAGTCATCGACTGACTAAAAATCGACTAATCGACTAATCGACTAATCGACTAATCGATTAATCGACTAATCGACTAATCGATTAATCGACTAATCGACTAATCGACTAATCGACTAATCGACTAATCGACTAATCGATTAGTCGACTAGTCGATTAATCGATTAATCGATTAGTCGATTAATCAATTAGTCGATTAGTCAATTAATTGATTAGTCGATTAGTCGGCTAGAAGAATAAATAAACAAAAAATAAATACTAGAAATATAGCAATAAAATTATAAAATAGATGATTAATAGACAAGTAACCTAACTAATCGACTAATCTACTAGCCGACTAATCGACTAATCGACTAATCGAGTAATCGACTAATCGAGTAATCGACTAATCTACTAATCGACTAATCGACTAATCGACTAATCGACTAATCGACTAATCAACTAATCGACTAATCGACTAATCGACTAGTCGACTAATCGATTAATCGATCGACTGACTATGAAAAAATTTAGTCGATTAGTCGACTAATAGTCGATTAATCGACTAATGACTATATGATTCCTATCCTTAACCTCAAGACTAGCTCTACACTGAAATAGAGCTATTTTTTTAATATTTTTATAAAAATATTTAGAATGCTAATGATTAGTGTTCTTGGTTTCGATTATTAATATTTTTTTACTTTTTTAAAAAAAAAGATTAAAAAAATAGCTCTATTTCAGTGTAAAGCTAGTTTAAAGCTTCAATTTAAAAAAAAATAGCATATTGTTTGAGTAATTATTTATTTCAATAAATGTAATTTTGGTAAAATTTATAGCGATAATCATATTAATATGGGTCCGATTTACAATATCAATTACATTACATAATAAATTACCAGTTTACATTCGAATCCCAATACCTAGAATCCCAGCGTTCAAAATCCGAAAGCAATTATTGATACTATCGGGATTTTATTTTCGGGATTTTGGGCATCGGGATTTTAAGTACCAAGATTCTGAGGTAAAACCAACATTACCATTAGAAAATCCGCAATTAGTGATGATCATTAGTATATAATTTTACTAGGCCGTTGCACACCCTAACGAGACGTGTTGAACATTGACAATAAGAAATTTGCTATCGATCTCCCATTTGTAGATATATCAAGAGTCGGCTCGTTCTGATATTCTTTTTCAATAATGCAAATATTGGAGAAAATACACGTTTTACAAGAGATTAGCTGATGGACTTTATATCTGTTCACATGCGCATTAATATAAATGTATTACTTAAAACTAACTCGTGTGTTTGTTAAATTTTTATTTCATATGAAACGGCACCGTTTTACTAGTATTATAATAGACTAACGTAATGCTTGTAGTTAAGAAAATAAACTAACAATTGAGTAACCTATACAAATAGGTTATATTCTTGAAATTCATGGATGCTAAATCAATACGATAATTTATTTGAGAAGGATAAAAAAAAACATCAAACGAATTATAGATAAAATAAAAAGATATAAATCAAAATCTAATAAATTTTTATGATTAGAGCATATTTTTCCGTAACATTATTTAATTTTTCTTGCCTATTTTATTGTCATCCAAAAGAGTATCTAAGCATTCAACTAAATCTGTTGTATCATAACGAGCTTCTTTAGGCATTCCAACAAGTTTTAAAATACCATTTACAATAACAAAAAAGCGGAAAGGCCATGGAGAATATAATTTTAAGAAAGTATCATCCATAGTATCAGCTAATACAGGAATCTCTAATTTGGTAGCTTTGATCATTTCACAAGCAGCAGTTAGATGATCAGTTAATGTACGATGTTCTTTAACATCTACAACATTACCAATTGGCCAAACATCACTTGCGTGTGCTTCTCGAATTTGAATCATATAAAAATCTATATGATCCTTATATCGGTTATAAATATCATTAAGTACATGAGATATGCATCGAAATAAAGGGCAGGTATATGATCCACCAAGAAGAACAAGGGGCCTTCCAGATTTATAGAGTGAATGTAAAGAAATACTAGTCAATACGTTAGCATTAATAATTTCTTTTGTAGAAATTGAAGAATCTACAGGAATTAATTGGCAATTTGGAGCTAACATTTCTTCAGTGAGATTTCCTACATTAGCAATGTTGTTACGAACATATAATTGAGTAGTTTGAAATGCAGGATCATCTAAAGGAACGAAATCAATCAATCAATCAATACAATACAATTGTGTATAAAAATATGAATATTCAATGAATAAAAATACCTTTGTAAATATGTGGAGCACGACGTAACAATTGCACAGCTTCATCCGAATATCCAGATTCACGAACTAAACCATACTGCATCTTATCAGTGACATCCATCCAATCCATTCCAAGTGTGGGATCAGTTCCAACTTTATAAAATTGGTTTTGTATTTCAGGTGATAATCGTTGTTGTTCTTCTTTTTGAAGCAATGTTAACATTTCTTCTTTTGTAGTTGGTAATATTGGATGGATGGTAACGGAGGGAACAGGGATATTTTTTAAATTATCGTTTGAATTTGGAGGAATCCAAAGTTTCAAAAAATTATGCTGAACATTATGAAGCAAATCAGACATTGAAATACAATTACAACACAAATCATAATCAGGGCATTCTTGACATTTATATCTATTTCAGAGAAAAAAGAAAGCATTATATAAATATTCAAAAGAGATCACGACTTGAAATAAAATGAATATTGTGTATATAACCTTGTTCCTTTCCAACCGCTTTTACCACAGTAATCGCAAGCAATATCAATATGAACGCCACTTTGTAGAATTTCTTCATTTGTTGGTGTATAACGCGTAAGTGGTGGCAATGCATCAAACTCTGTTCGACAACTGGTCTCATGAAACATCCCACCACGTAGCTTGAGTATAAGATGTAATATTTCTCCGTTTTGAATATTGTAGTCTGATAAGGTGCGATAATCTTCTAATTGCTTTCCACCAAATATAAAACTTTGTTGATCAGGGGGATACCTTCTCTATTGTAAAATATTTCTTTAATTTCATCGAAAGTATTGGCACCAGAAATATTATCCAGAACAATAGACTTTCCAGTTAATGTTTTGATAAAGATTGACATTGAACCATGTATTCTCTGATTTACACAAATAAAATCCAATACAGACTCAGGCTTAATATTGTAATCATCCAATGTATAATCATCTTCCAATACCGTTCCGGCAAAAACAAGAATGTACTTATGAGAATCAATAGATACTTTATCATTAATCATTTTTCTAATGACATTGATAGTGCTATTCTCAGATACATCTAGAATTATTTTTTCTTGAGTTTGCATTTCTACATAAATTTGACCAGCCAAAAACTTTGATTCACTGTTTTTTCTAAGCGCTTTATCCTTAAGTACAAGATGTATTATAGAATGTTTCATGACACCGTACCTTTCCAATCTGCGAATATTTGATAATTCCTTTTCACGAAAAATAAGAAATTGATGATCAGAATTGATCCCCTCTTTATCCTGAATCATTTTTTTTAGATCAGAAACAGTATCATTCTTGAATACATTTAATGTTATTGATTTTCTCTTAAAAATGTTCACATAGATTGGGATTAAAGGAGAATAAAAATTTAAATCAATCTTGTAATTTAATAAACTTTCTTCATTTTCATCATCCAGGTAAACTTGTTGAGATTTAAGATAAAAAGTCAAATAGAACTTATTATCAGGAATACCTTCTTTATCCTGGATTATTTTCTTGAGGGCATTAACAGTGACATCATAACACACTTCTAAATTTAAGGGTTTTCCTGTTGGCATTGTTATGGATATTAAGCTTTTTGGAATTACGGATAGATTTAATATAGATCCTTTTTTTATACAGTAATCTGCTATGAGACACTCATCATTTAAAAGCTTGCCAGCATAAGTGAGACGTTGTTGAACAGGCAAACAGAATTCTTTATTTTGAATCATTTCTTTAAGGGCATAAATAGTATCACTTCCAGATACTTGTAGAGTTATATTTCTATTAGAAGTTTTCACGTATATTTGACCAGTTGAAGACTTTGCTATAATTGGTTCCGCCATAACTTGTGTTTCTAACTCATGTACCGGCGGTTTTGATACGATCTGTGATCTGGTATCATTTACTAAGCACATAGTAAATGGGTAATTTATATACAGTTAATAAATAAGTTATAATACAAAAGATAGTACGTATGGTTCATCCATATCCTGACAAAAAAAAAAAGTCCTAACTATCACTTATAAAAGATAAAGTTTTAAGTCTTCTTAATAACCATACATACAATCGAATATTATTATAGTCTCTATGATACTGTAATACTATAGCATATAATAATAAATATACATTACATGTACTTTTAATTACTTTGATCCAATCACCTTCCTAATAATATAAAGTGTAAGTCATTAATATTTATGCACTTTAATTTCTTCTCCAGTAATGAAATAGTCTTGTACATACTTTGATCCCTAATTTTTCAAACGTATCGATTTTCTGTATAGGTTTGTCATTATACGTAAAGTCATACTTATAAGGAAGCGTGTCTGTTTCTCTTTTAGGTCTAAATGCACACCATGAGTTGAACTCATAGCCTCTACAACTTAACTTAAAAAACTCATCAAGAGACTTTGACAATAACTCCCCAGTAGTATGTATAGTAACATTAGCTTTGTATTTGTATACGCGATCTGAGACATATTGAACATGGATAGGAAAAACTGGAGGGTAGTGTAAATGCATTTTGTGTAGGAAGCTTCGATATTCCACATCATTTCTTTATATAGTTTCAGATATATTTTATTATATATGTACATGCTAACAAATAGATCTCTATTTAGAAGTTCAAATAGACACATAACCTATTCGTATCTAGAGAATTTATCCCACAATCTATCCTTATTCTAACAGATAAAAGAAAAATCATTAGAAAAGTACGTACGTACGTACGTGCATAACGGGTGACAAATATTCTTTTTTGGAAATTCAAATAGTAATACAGTAACGATAAATAAATACGTATAAACTCCTTAAGAAAATGCTCCTTTAATGACAATCTATCCTTATTCACATGATAAAGAGCAATACTAGCACTTCCTTGATACAATCATCAAAAAAAGTTATCCGAATTTTGTTTCATAGTATGTCTTAATACGTCAGAACTAACAATGTGTCCAGTCAAGCAGTTTTTTAAAGTAGGATGAATAGAAAAGAGGCCAAACTCGATGGTTGAATGGTTGTGATTTCACTGCAAAATACTTTTTAGTTGTATTATTGAAACTTTCAAAATAGTTTGACTTTTTAATAAATAGTATTTTTTTCCAATATTTTAAAGGATAATGTTCTGGCTGTTTTAACATAGATATTATATACTAATAACTTCCTGCAGATATATACAAACTAAATCCTAGATTTTATATAAGGAAATACATAAACTAATAATAAAACGCGACGTTTCATAGGGCTGGAGCCTTACTTGTTAGATTCTTAAATCTGAAAATAAAATTTTTAACACTAAGTACAAGAATATACGTTGATTTTAAATAGCAAATTGTTATAAATTTATATTACAGTATTAATGCGTGACATGCAAGACATAAATTCCAATAATTATAAAGAAAATTTATATTAATGCGTGACGTGCAAGACATCAATTCCAATAATTATAAAGAAAATAATCTCTGCTCTTCAGCTAATCTTTCCTACAAACGTGTACTTGTCTCCAATTTTTGTAAACTATAATAAGAGAAAGTACTATTGAAATCAGAAAGAGCACGGACTACGAATGTAAGACCTATAACGAATTCCTTATTGCCAATGTCTAATACTGTTTGTGGTAATGTTAAACCTTGCGATTTGTGAATCGTAATTGCCACAAGCAAGGCACAATGGAAATCGCATGAGAACAATTCCTGATTTTCCTTCCCATATACAGAACATCTAATTGAGCGAATCGGCAAAATTTGTAAACTATTTAATATAGACAGTATCGGTTTTGGACCTGTACAATTATCCATTTTGAGCAATATTAATGTAGGTATATATGAGTGATAAAATTCATAATAATCTATGTTCAGATTTAAGATTTTCTCTTCCCATCACTCATATAATATCAATACGTGGTCTTGCAGCATTTACCAATCCGTAATTAGTCAAAATATTGGAGGTGAACATTACACGTACAAGCTCCAAGTGCAGAAATGCCGCATAATATTGGACATTGGACAATTTTGATATTTGAACAATGTCTAATTTGTCCAAATACAGTCAGAGATTTTACCAAAATGGAGGCGGGGAATCATGTGATCAAATTATAAGAAATGCAAAAAAAAAACAAATCGAAAAACGTGAAAAATAGAAAAAACGGTAGTTTAAACTAACTTTGATGCATTAATAAAAAATGTCGGGGAGGCAATTTTATTTATACAAACGCCCCTAACCCAGCCCTAACCCTAAAGGTAATCAAGTAAATTATTAAGAAAGATGCATTCCCTCCGCTTTAGACGTCTCCTAAATTTGATTTTGCGATTTATAGATTGCGTGAACCATACATAAATTTTTATATGATACCATATATATATAGTTTTGATTTACTTAGTTGATGTATAATCCAATGTAACGTTATACTAAACAAGAATGGCGGCTACTTCTGCCCTTGGAGGAGGAACAAATGCACTTATATCGAAAACTAATAAATGATACTAAAATGAATTTCATGAGATTACTGTATTAAAGAATAATTTGTATTAGTTTATTAGCCGCAAGTCTGGCGCGAATTATTTTCTTATAAATAACTAGTATTAGAGCCTGTCGTTAAACGACAGGCTATATGGTAAGAAATAAACATCATCTACAAATGTTACCTGTTACATGAATATGCAAGAGCCGTTATCTTATATATAAGTGCCACCAAAGGAAAATAATACTTTAAGCTTTAATTATATCATCTATTTTTGGGGTTTACTAATTTCTCCCCATAGTTCCTATTGGACGAAGAAAAATCGATCAAATAATGGAAGTATCATTGAAACAGTATAAAGGTCTAATAGATATATACTATACTAAAATTTTGCAAGGAATTTTTTTTGTTAGAATACAAAAGGTGGTTTTGTAACCAAAATTTTAAGCTACTGACGATTTTTGAAAAACTCTAAATTTTATGTTACACCTGATCTTATAATTTGATTGGTAGACGAAGAGTGGCGTAATCTACTTTGTCCAGTCAGAGATGGAATTTACAAATGTCCAATCAGAACTGTGGGGAGAAATTAGGGATCCCCTATTTTTGTCGGATTAAGCCTTTTAAAAACCTGATGATGACATATGTTTGATATGTATATAACCACATCATATATATATCACAAATCTGGGTTGGATTCGGTAAATAATCGAAATAAACTTGAAAATCTAAAGTCTCCTCTTCCCTCGGAGCACTCACAGGTATTAGGAGTTAGACCCCTCGACTTTATAGTATGCACGAATGTTACACAAATATGCAATGTCCGACTTATAGATGCTGGTGAAACTCTTGGTGAATGGTGGAAATTTAATATAACAGCCAATCAGATTTTAGATAGTCACCAGTTTCACCAGCGTTATTTAGTCTCACCGGTCCGACTACCTTGCAGAATTCCAATTTTTTTAAATATATAGATATATAGATAACGATAATGCATTTGCATTAGCAAACCATGGAGAAACTTATCTTGTGATGAACAAATACGAAGAACATTAGCAGATTTAAATAAATCATTAGAAATTAATCCAAATAGTGCATTTGCATTAGCAATCCGTGGAGCAACTTATCGCATGATGAACAGATACAAAGAATCACTAGCAGATTTAAATAAATTATTAGAAATTAATCCAAATGATGCATTTGCATTAGGAAACCGTGGAGCAACTTATCTTAAATTATTAGAAATTAATCCAAATGATGCATTTACATTAGCAAACCGTGGAGCAACTTATCATATGATGAACAGATACGAAGAATCACTAACAGATTTAAATAAATCATTAGAAATTAATCCAAATGATGCATTTGCATTAGCAAACCGTGGAGCAACTTATCACATGATGAACAGATACGAAGAATCACTAACAGATTTAAATAAAACATTAGAAATTAATCCAAATGATGCATTTGCATTAGCAAATCGTGGAGCAACTTATCTTATGATGAACAGATACGAAGAATCACTAACAGATTTAAATAAATCATTAGAAATTAATCCAAATTATACATTTGCATTAGCAAACCGTGGAGCGGTTTATCGCATTATGAATAAGACTCACTTTCAGATTTAAATAAATCATTAAAAATTGAACCAAATGATGCATTTGCATTAAGAAACCGTGGAGCAACTTATTGCATGATGAATAGATATTATGAATCGCATGAAGATTTAGTAAAATGTAAATTTTCAAATGAATGTTTAAATTGTGGACAACGTAATACTTCTAAAGCCTGGTGCCAATTATGTGATCAACATAGAATAAGTCGAGGATGGACGAGTGGAAATAAAGAAATCGATGACTATGTAAAAGAGCTTCAGATCAAAATTACAACATATGAGAATTTGATTGAATGGATTCCATTCGATAGGTTAGTTAATCTTCAAATCATTGGTAAAGGGGGATTTGGGACAGTATTTTCTGCAATCTGGTTAGATGGCAAGCCAATAATTAGAGATAATTTACAAGCACGTGAACAATCATGCAAAATTGCACTTAAAACTCTTAACACTTTCAAAGAAGTAAGTTCAAGGTTTTATTATAACGCTTTGCAAAAGGTGTGATCCCATGATTTTTGCGAAATGATAGCTGAAGTCCCAGGTTTTAAATTATATTTTCAATAAGTCTATCTATCTGAAATCTGAAATAAAATTCTTCGGTTTTTTTATAAAATTCCAACTTTTTGCAAAGCGCGATAAAAAAGTATGTGTACAATTATTCTGACAATTATAATTATATTCTCAATTTATTGTAATAAGTTCGAAAGCCACGTTCGGTGTAGATCGAATGGTCTTGGGCTTGAGATATATGGAATAACTCAGGATACAGAAACTCGAAAATTCCTTATGGTATTTCAATATGCCGATAAGGGAAATCTGTACAATTTTTTAGTATCAAATTTTAAAGAATTCGATTGGGAAAGAAGACTGACGTGCCTTATAGATATATCAAATGATTTGGCTAGGATTCATGAATCAGGATACGTTCATTGTGATTTTCATAGTGGAAATGTTTTGCTAAATCAATACAAAAGTTTCTTCATAAAATCTTTTATTACCGACCTAGGCTTATCTAAAGATCTGAAAGAATCAGCTTCAAAGGGTGACGTTTATGGAGTCATGCCATATATCGCACCAGAAATTTTATTAGGTAAAGAATATACGCAAGCAGCTGATATATATAGTTTAGGTATTATTATGACAGAATTGTCAACTGGAAAAAGACCTTTTTACGGTTATCAGTTCGACTTTAGACTTGCATTGGATATTTGTAACGGATTACGACCTGAGTTTTCTGAAAGAACACCTGAATGTTATATTGAATTAGCTAAGCAATGCATGGATTCCAACCCATATAACCGGCCTAGTGCTAAAGATATTAGTTCAAAACTTTTAAAATGGCGCATGATTGTGATGAATCCATCAATGCCACACGAAGAATCAAATATTCTAAATTTTATATCTGCTAATGATGAGATCAAAACAACAGAAATTACCTTGTCGAATTATCAAAGTTCAATGTATACAAGCAGATTAATAAACACTAAAGAGATTAAATTAGCATATGAATCAGCTAAATTTAGAGGTAATCCTAAAAATTTTATGTGAAAATTTATATGATTATTCATTATTGATTCATTTTAAATAATTAATTGTATTCATATAATAGATTCGAAAATGTGCGATCTTAATGTATGCGCTAAATCAAGAAATGTGTGATTATAATTATTATACGAAATATTGGTTTGCGTGTATTATCAAATACGCTGTCGATGCTTCCAAGAAAATTTTATAATTAATACGTACGTAATAAGTTCTTATAAAATTATGTGAAATTTCGTGAACAGGGCTGGTAAAATATTATTGATATAAGATAAAAGGTCTATATGAATTCTATGTGATTTTCATATATATTATTTTATATAACTCTGACGTCAAAATATAAAAATAAGTACCGTTTAGCACTGCTTTTAGTATCCCCCAACGATAATATTCTATCACATAAAGTACCCTCTTCACCAATGAAATCACTGGATTCGTGAATAGTACCTGTACTATTCAATTTCAAAATGGAATTCTTGAATAAAGACCCCGGGTACTATAGACTAGTGTTCCAAATCGTTAGTTGAAAAATCAACTAGTTGCCAACTTTCCAACTAGTCGATTTGAAAAAATTTTAAACTAATCGATTAATCATTCAACTAGTACAATTCCGTCTAGTCGGATTAATTCCTTTGGTTTGATTGGCTAATCATCTGATGATGCCACGTGATGTGAACAATCGATTAGTTGCAACTATAGTTGGCAACTAATCGATTGGTAAAATATTTACCAACTCGGAAC